CCTGACCCCCTTGGTGCCAAATGAGGCAGGAATCCCCCCACCCCTCCATAGAGAGCCGCCTTTCTCGGAACTGAACTGAACTCTTTTGGGCCTGGAGCCCCTCGACACAGCGGAGGTCCCTCCTCACCCACTCCTGGCTCCAGACAGGGGCTGCAGGCTTCGGGGACCTGGACCCCCTCATTTCGCGTCTCCCCTTTCCCTCCCCAGCCCGGCCCCTGGAGGGGTCTCTGGTTCAAACCTTCGCGTGGCATTTTCACATTATTTAAAAAAGACAAAAACAACTTTTTGGAGGAACACGGGGCCTGTGCGTGTTTCACGAGGTGAGGCGGGGAGGATGCGGGGAGCGAGTGCGACCCTGGCCGGGCCCGCATGGCGGATGGAACATCGATGCTCAGAGGCGGAAACTCCCGCGCAGTGGGGAGGCCCTGGCTTCTCTGCTTCTCCAGATCCCTGCTCTGCGCCTAGTGTGCGCATCACCCGACCTCGGCTGCTACAGCAGCAGCACTGCAGGCTCAAGAATCCATAAGGATGAAGCAAGAGAATCGCTTGAACCCGGGAGACAGAGGTTGCAGTGAACCGAGATCATGCCACTGCACTCCAGTCTGGGTGAGAGTGAGACTCCATCTCAAAAAAAAATAAATAAGGAATCCACTGGGGTGGGGTGGGGAAGGTGCAGGCTGTGGTCAGAGCCACGTTTCTGCAAGGTGGCCCGCAGTGGTGGCCAGACACTATCCCAGGGCCAGGGGCTAGTGGAACAGGGACTCAGAAATGACCTGCTCATGCCCACACTGGATTATGATCACATCCCGCCCGCCTCAGGTCGGCACTGCCTGTTCCTTGAAGGTCGGGGTCTACCTCCCTGTCCACCGTGGTGCTGCCTCAGTTTACCCGTTTCTCCATGTGACGCCCACCTTGCTGACATTGTCATCCCTTGCTTTTACCTAACCGCACCTCTCCGTGTGGCGCGCTCTCTCTCATTTCCGTCCTTCTGGCTCCCCGTCTCACCCTGCCCCAGTTTTGGTCTCCATCTGATCTGGAGTTTTCCTGTCTCCCCATCTAAGTCTCTTGCTCTCGGCCTCCTCCTCCCTGTCTAATTCTATTTCGATGTCTTTGTCTCGAGTTCCTCCCTGCCTCCACATTTTTTCTCCTTGTCTGTGTCTCCTTGTCACCTCCTCCTGTCTCTATTATGGCCTTCTGCCTTGTGCTTTTGTCTCTATTTCCTTTTTTTATGAGACCATCTCAGTCTGTCGCCCAGGTTGCAGTGCAGTGGTGCGATCTTGGCTCACTGCAATCCTCCAGTGTAGG